CTAGTTCGCTGCTCACCTATCATATATAAAAATACCGCTCATGAGAAATGTCGATTGTATTGCTCATCTTCAATATCAGCAAATGTTTCTAATTATGAATTATCATTTAAACTACATGGCATAAATTTCCTTATAAAATAAAAGTAGTGTAGAGAATATTTAAGGTTATATGATTTACACACCAAATGTAACTTGATAAAGAAAAATTAGTTGCTAAAAGTGGCATACTTGTTTTAGTCTCCTGTCTTTAAGCACTGCCTGTTTCTCTAAAATGTATTTTTAAACTTTTTTTGAAGTGACTACTTTCTAAAGACATTTTAATAAGGAAAACTTCTTAGGCTATAAAAGAGAAACTTGATCACTGAAGCAAAATATAATAAATGCGAACAGAACATTTGGCAAAAAAACCTTATGAAAAGGATTTTATTTTAGGTCTAATGGAGACAAAAACAAAGAAAAGGAGCAAGTGAACCTATAAATTGAGACTTAAGAGACATATCAACCAAATACTATAAATCTTGTTTGCATCAGATCTTGTTTGGATTCTGATTTGTAAAGCCAACTTTATAAAAAGAATTTAAGAGACATCTGAACACTAACTGGATATTTGATATTAATAAATTATTAATTTTTACAGGTGGTGAGAATGGCATTGGGTTATGTTAAAAAAGGGGGGCTCCTATCTTATAGAGACTCATACTGAAGAAGTTATGAAAGAAATTATACCTGTTATCTGTGTTAAAACAGTCCAACGGGGGGAGAGGTATAGCAGGTGAAATGAAATAGGCCACATGTTGGTAAATGCTAAAGCTGGGTGACGGGGACATGAGGTCCATTAAACTCTCTACTTTTACATATGTTTAAAATTTTCCATAATAAAACTTTTTTAAAAGGCCTATTGGTAACCAAGCTAACAGTATATTTATAGTGGTTGTTAAACATTAATTCAAAGTTGAAAATAGAGAATCATCAAGATAGGTTTCCAGGAGATAGAAAGGGGAAAAGAAACTTCTATCAGTTTATTAGCAAGAAATTAGAAAATCCTTAGAATCCTGACACTTGTATAAATAGTTAAACTAATGAGAGTTACAGTGAAAAACCCACCACTCTACTACATTCCATTATATAATCCCTTACTTAAAAAAAAATTCTCAGCAAAATAGAATATTTATCTACATTTTTAAGGTGAAAAATAAAATCATAGGAAAGCAAAAGTCATCATCATAGCTGGTAGGTAATGTCTTTTGAGAAGGGAAAAGTTGATAGAAGACTAAGATACATAAAAGTTTTAATTCTATAAAAAAAAAATGTGATTAATGGAAGCATTTTTCTTTATCAAGGAATTGGTAGAACATATTATATATAAAAGTACAACCAAACCAATGTCCGGGATGGCCTAAAACATTTCTTGAACAAATATTTATTTTGCTAAATACAAAGACATTTACCTTTAGAGTTAGATGAGCTTCCTCTATGTCTAAAGGAAAAATGGTTGCAACAGCTTTGGTAAAAAATATTACCGAAATTAAATTTTTTAATAGACAGTGAAGTAAACATAAACTAGAAGAGCATAAAAACAAAGCAAACTATATTAAGATACTAGAAAAAACTCATGGTGAGGTGGGAAAAAAACTTGGATGCCAGGTGCTTCCAGGCTACAGCTATCTCTGCTGCTACTCTCAGAAGTAAAAAACTCCCTGGGCCTCAGTTTTCCATCTATAGAAGTCAGACTAGCTTCTCTCTCTCGCCAGTCCTACTCCCTGAGGCCACAGTATCCACATATTCCCTTTCCTTTCTTCCTTAGTAAAGAATCCTGGACTTTCAGCAGAATACCTGGTTGACTGGAACAAAGACATTTGAAATTAGGCATGACCATGTGATAAAGGTTTAGCCACGAATATGTGACAGCGTTGTGTGCTAGTGTTCAGATAAATCTCCTTAAAAGACACTGTACACACTTTTTTCCTCTTTTTCTCTCCATTCTGGACCTTCTGCTGCCAGGGATGGCTGGAACTCTAACAGCCATCTTGGAAATAAAGTGTTATCTTGTTTAAGCAATCATTATTTGGGGTTTTTTTCTGTAACTTGAAAAAGAACTTAATCCTAGATGGTACAAAATTACATTCTTATACTATATTACCTCAGGAGTAAATAGTTACTCAACAATAAATAAGTAAATGAAAATAAAATGCCAGAAGGAAAAGAACCCTAGAAGGAAAGATCACATATGGTATTCCCACCATTTTCCTACTAACTCTAAGAATAAGAGAAAGGAGGAGTTAATAGTTACTCAACAATAAATAAGTAAATGAAAATAAAATGCCAGAAGGAAAAGAACCCTAGAAGGAAAGATCACATATGGTATTCCTACCATTTTCCTACTAACTCTAAGAATAAGAGAAAGGAGGAGTTTGATGGTTTTTTCCCTCCAACAGGGGTAGTTAGCATGTTTAGGGTAGGTAGATTAATTCCATACATTCATTAATTCATTCATTCATTCTTTCATTCAGCAAATATGTATTAAGTATACTAAATGCCATGTACTAAGACGCCTGAATAAGACAGAAAAGATCCCGACTTTAATAAAGTTTATGTTCTGGTGGAAAGGTAAAAGGCACTAGATATTTAATACGGGGAAAATACACAAAGAGCTTAGCTACTCTACCACTGATGACACATTCTCACCATCAAAAATATAAATCAACTATAATTAAGTTCTTCCTTTAAAATGAAGGCTCTGAACAAGGAATAAAACTACTTAACATTTGTCACAACTACATCAACTGTTTCTATGAACCTTTGTCGAGAGAGTATGTTTTATCCATCATTTATTCCCATAATGGAAAAAAAAATTCTTGACATTTTATGTTCATAACGTCTTGAAACTTAATTTTTACAGAATGAAAATGAACACAGAAACGATTAAGACAAACAAAATAAGTTTCGGTGAGAAATTTACTCAAGGAACTTAAAATCTAATTGAACTTTCAGAAACAGAGATAATCTAGTCATATAAAGAAAATGTTGATCAGTCAACAAAGGGGACTAAAAATTATGACGTCTAAATGAGACATAAAAAACCAGATTATGAAAAGGCCCAAGTAATCCACTGATAAAAATTAATATTGGGAAATAAGTGGTTGTGGACATGGAGGTTAACATGATCTAGGTATGACAGACACTAGTTCAAAGCTAGATTTCAAATTTGGGAGATATAACAACACAATCAAAGAGAGTAAACTGGAGGAGAAGAGAGCCTAAAGTCAGAAGAACAAGCCACCTAAGGTCAGAAGAAGTCACGTACCACTGACATTTTCCTTGTGTACTGATGAATATTTACAACTGACTTGGAAAACAAAGGTTTTAGTAATTTCCTCAACAGCTCTCTACAGATCAAAAGAATTATTAGATATCTAACTTTTCATCAAACAGGAGGTTTAGGCACTTCAAATATGAATTCCTTGAACATGGATTTCACATAGTAATTTATGCAATGGAAGGCCATAGTGAAATGTAATATAAAGTAACTGTAGCAAAACTGTACATATGCAAACCAAGATACAGCCTTGATACGGTCAGCACATATGCCACAATATGGCATAATTTTGGAAGAGAAAAATATAAAATATATTATAAATGTTGCATATTTATAATCAAGTATGATTATTTCAATACAAGTTAAGACAATATAGTGCTTTTAACATGTACAATACATTGAAGGGTGTTAATATTACAGGATACATATATCTGATTCCCAAGGGATTCAAAATGGTTATTACACATAATGAGATTTTTATTCAATATGCCTTTTACACCCAAGTGGTGACTAAAGCAATAACCTTCATAATCTGCTGTGTATTTTTGATAAAATTGAATTGATATTTGAATTGAAAAGAAGTCCACTTTTTCATTTAAAAGTATACATGTCACAAAAAGTGGGGATATTATCTAATGTTACTGTTCAATCTCAATAGAGATAAAGATCAGGGACAGCAATTGTCTCTGAAAATGGACTTTAAAGGACAGAGACTAAGTCTATTTAATTAATAGAAAATAAAGCATAGATGGCATAGGTTCTTAATCTGGGGTCCAAGATCTATTTCAAGGAACCCAACAAAACACTGAAGTTTTATATAAAATTTTGAGTGTTGGCTTTTATCAGATTCTCAAATGAATATGAGATTTAAAGATGAATCAGTACACCTAAAAGTGTGATGATCTTATTGTTAATTGAACAATTTTACAAGACCTTAAGTTATTCAACAGCAAATACCTGAATAATAGTATTTGATTTCCACCGTGTTACACTGGATTTAATCTCTTCCCAAAGCAGTTTAGAAAAAAAAAACCCAAAGGTGACAACAAAAACCATCAACTCAAGAAATGTAAGCTTTTAGAAAACCATATGGGATTTTCTACTGCAGTCAAGACCACAGGAAACCATGAGACAGTTTCAGCATAAGATTAAAGAGAGAAGAGAATGACAAATATTTCTCCGGATATCCCCTTTATAAACCTCTTCCCCATTCCAAGACCTAAGAACAAATTAAGCAGGACATCTCAGATATTCCCTCTCAGAATTTTAAGGGTGAAATCCAAATGCCACTCCCCCACAAGGCAAGGAACATTCTCCCACAGAGAGGCAGGGAACAGGTTTCTCCCAATTCCAAGACAGTGGGTAAAGCTAAAGTTACAGATGGAAGACTCTCTCCATCTGCCAAAATGAGGAGGGGACTTGTCACTCTCTTTTGACGGAGTAGGGGGCGACAGGGACGAGGCGGGGATCCAAATCTGAAGAACTGCTGCACGTGATGGGCCCCGGATCTTAAGACATGTAGCCATGCCAGACTGGTGTGGATATGAGAAAGCAACTCAGCAGCAGAGGTGGTGGCAAAGGCAAGACCTGAACCTCCTGGTGAGGCGCTACGTGGCACTAAGCAAACAGTTCTTCGTCTCCCCCACCCCCTGCTTCCGCCCCAACCTTTTTCCCCTTTGGTTACCAGTTGCTCCAGATGCCGTAGAGTAGTTCAACAAAAGCGAAAGAGAGGTTCAGGCACAGGAAGAAAAACAGGTTCCGGGACGTCTTGTCCGACAGGATAGACCTGGACACACAAGTGGGGAAGAGCCAGGAGAGTCAGAAGGGTGCCGGGACCCGGAGGCTGGGTCCCCCTTTCAAGAACCTCCCAGTCCACACGCTCCTTTCCTCACAGCGAAGGAGAGTGCCCCCGAGGCTCCCTCCCTGGACCTCGGGCCATCCTTAGGTCTGGGCCTTCTCCCCTTCTGCCGGACACCCGCTTCCCGCAAACACACCAGCACGCACCTAAACCAGCCCGAGATCTTGCGCAACAGATTGAATTTGGGTGGTTTGTATTCATCGTCCTTGATGGACAGGGGCAACATCTTCTCTGCCCGGCGAAGGGCCGGGTCTACTCCGCTCTATAAGTGGCTCCGTGGGTGATGGTAGTGACAGTGGCGACGCCTCAGATGGGAATCCCCAGCGCTTGCCCCGGGCCGCGCGCCGCTTCCAGACACAGACAGACACAGACACACACCGGGGAACTCGCCGACTTCCGGCCCGGGCCGCGCAACGCGTCCTGGGACGGGAAAGGAAGGAGGCGGGGCCGAGGGCGGGGCCTGCTCGGCGGAGGGCGGGGCTTACGGCGGGGGCGGGGTGGGAGTTGTGGGGGTGGAAGGAGATGGCAACTACTGGGTGGTCTAGGGGGCCTACTTGGGGTGGAGTCCTGCTAACTGGATTCAGGAAGACAGTCCTGAGGTGGCGACCGCGCAGATTGGGCTGGCTGGGAGGTTGGGAGCCCGCTGACGCCCACCCCGACCGCCTACCACTGATATTCCCGGATGCGCTAGTGCCCAGCGCCTGCACTTTCGCCATTTCCCCTTATTAGCATTAAATCCCAGTGTATTAGGTAGCAGTGTTTAAGAATCTAAGCGGCAGCGTGTTGTCTTGCCGCCAGTCTGCAGGAGGCGCAAGTGATGGTTTTGCTGGGTGAACTCTATGGGCATTCAAATCCTAGCGATCCACGCCACCCCGCCCTCGAAAACAGCTCCTGGCTCTTCTGTACTGCCCTGCAGGAGGCAGTCAATAAATGTCTTCCGAAAGAATGGTAAATGTATTTAAAAATAAATCCTTTAAAGGGAGCTCCTATGACACCATGTTGGAATTGACATTTGCTTAAAGGCATTGCTTCCCCGACAATCTCAATCCACTGATACCCCAAAACTCGAGTTCGTACACTTCCCCGTCACTTCCAGGTCATCCCGGGGTCCGCAGCCGCAGCTATAACTCTTGTCAGAACCTCACTGCCGGTTTCAGGGAAGCGCAGGAGACACTGACTGGTCGGTGGGACGCGAGGGCGTGCGGAGCGCAGGGAGGCGAGCCTGGCGGGGGTCTCCGGCAATCTGCTTGCGTAAGGTCAGGGGGTCCATCACATGAATGATTAAAAGTTGTTACATTGGGGAAGAAATGGGGAAAAGGAGGACTGGATTTTGGAGGTGGGCTAGAAAGTACAAAACCGAGCTTCTTGGGAACTGCTATTTAGTCTAACAGGAAGTGGAGCGTCACCGAAAGGGAGGGGCGGCCACCCGGGGACTGTCCCCTGCTTCAGGCGCTCACTTTGCGGGAGGTTTTTTTTCCAGGTTATCAATCCAGCGAATGAGGCCGGGCGAATGCACGCTGCTGGGTTTAGAAAAAAAACAAAAAATGAGTAAGCGAGACGCCCCTTCCGTTTTATGATAATCAAGCTGCAAGCAAATAAATCGGCTGGCCCTACTGCAATCTCCTGCACTCGAGGTAAGGAAATAGCAAAATGCTCGCGTGTTAAAGAATTTTTACCGTGAGGATATATCCATGTTTTGCTCTCGTTCTTCGAACTTTGTGCATGTGTGGGGTAGTGATTCGGTGGTTTTATTTTTGAAAATACAATTTACTTATTCTACAATTTTTTTTAATGTTCATGTTAATTAAAACTGCTGTGTTAAAACAGCTAGATTCCAGAAATTAAGTTTTGGAAAGAGTGTTTTGTCTTTGCCTTTCTTGGCGTAGATTTCATTATTTTAACTTAAACTTAGATATGTTTTCAATTAGTAGCATCTACTTATATTTTTTAGGAAGCTTTTATATTAGCCATAGACTTTGATTTTTACTGCACTGCTGGGGAAACGTTAAGTGGGTGCAAACTAGGTTAAAGATAAATATATCCATGGCAATTGGATTTTTCTCCAAAACTGCTTTATTTCAGTATGATGTAACTTAGGGGGAGAGAGGATATATAGAAATAACCAAATTTCAGCAAATGATTTCCAGCGTTCTCTTAACTCATCAAGGTCAGCTGCGATTTGAGCCTGTATTTTGGTATTCTGCCTTTGAAAAATAAATTCTGCATTTTATCCTATATTGCTACAAATGAGAAATTGCTCAGCTGGTTTATGGAGAAGTCTGCAATACCCTTTTTCAAATAGTTTTGAAATAAGTTGGAGAAATGAAGTTAATTTCAGTTATATTGGTTTTCTGCGACTCCCAAATTCCCCCACTCCCCACCTCCAAAGATTAAGAGAGATGTTTCTTTCCCTGAGGGCCTTCTTTCAAAAGTGGCAATGCCACTCCACATCTTTTAGTCTTGGATGGCATAATTACCAACTTCAATACTAAAGACATTTTATTGGAAATATAAATTGGACACTATTTAAATCAGGAAAAATTCTATGAGTGGAAAATGTTTGACTCACTTCTTTTGTCATCTTGAAATAATATTTGTCCCGTATGTGCTAACCACTATATGTTGTCATATTGAAGTTACAGTTAGTTTCTTTCATTCATTCAGTTGTCATTTAATGAGTGTCTACTATGAGCTAGGCTCTTGTGCTGGGCTGGAGCAGGGGAAGGGACGTAGGTTACAAAGCCTGATAAGTCAAAGTTCTTTCCCTGGAGGAATTTTATGGGAAGAAGAAAGCATGAGGAGAGGGCAAATTAGAGAGCAAATCAGGATTTTAGAACTGTGTAATGTTTAAGGTGTGCACAGGGATGTTGTTGTGTAGTGAAGAGGGACAACTGTCACTCAGTGAGTCTTTCCATCTATGTAAAGCCATTCTTTTGCTCCCTCAATAACTTGTATCATGAAAGAACATGATTTTGGAAAATCAAAAATGATTCTTCAGCTCTATTCAGGTGGTCATTACAAATGCAGTATCTTGAAAGTCTTCAATCAATTTTTTAATTCCTTCATATATTACAAGATAAATGGGTTTATAAGATTATAAAATAGGGAGATGTAGTAATGAACATTTTTAAACTAATAAATGGATTTCTACCCTGAACTTTTTAATATTTGTTTAGTTCATCTCCTACTAATTAATTGCATTAAGTTAACTGTGCAGACTTTATGGGGGAAAAAAACCCCAGCTTCTCAGACATGTGATTGAGGATTGTGAGAAATGAGAGCAGAGAGAATTAAGCGGCAGCAGCTCATCTCCAGCCCAGGTTCCAGCAGCTGTCAGTAAGGAATAGGAAGGGTGCCATCCATCACTCCTCAGTAATCAACCCTGGCATTTATCTGCAGCCCTATTTTAGACCTGTGAGTTTTTAGATGCTTCAAATTGAATGCCCTATGAACGTTTAGTGAAAAAATGAGTTGTGATGGTAGATAAAACTACAAATAGTTAAAAATTTAGAAGTTGAATACAAGTGCAAATTGCTAATGTGTTCAGAGGTTTTGCTCCATGGCATATAGGTTCCGGTTTCAAATGTGTAAACACATTACATCATCGGGATGATTTGAGTTTATTCTGCTTTTGGATACTTAAGAGAAAGATGAAAACAAAAATATAGCAGTGTTAGCCTCACAGGAAGACATTATCTCACCTCATGCCTAAATGTAATTTTTGGAACATAGAATAGCAAATTTTAATTTTTAAAAATAATTCAAAGCTTTTGGACAATGGCATTAAAAGCATTTTTTAAAAATTTCCTGCTGATTGACAAAAACATCACAGAAAATTCTTTGATTTCTCTTAATAGTGCCAAGAGAGCCTATTCCTATGAATTACTGAAGCCATAAGGAAAATTTTTTTAAAAATTAAAACTTTACCATAATGAGGTAAGTACCAGTATTTTTTTTTTGGCTTTTTAAAAATTGTAGTAATATATACATAACATAATATTTGCCATCTTAACCATTTTTAAGTGCACAGTTCAGTAATGTTAAGTATATTAACATTGTCGAGGAACTGATCTCCAGAAATTTTTCATCTTGCAAAACTGAAACTCTATAACTATTAAATAATAACTCCCCATTTCCCCCTCCTCCAAGCCCCTGTCAACCACCATTCTACTCTCTGTTTCTATGAATTTGACTACTCTAGGTACTTCATGTAAGTGGAATCGTATAGTATTTGTCATTTTGTGACTGGCTTATTTCACTTAGCATAATATCCTCAAGGTTCATCCATGTTGTAGCATGTATCAGAATTTCCTTCCTTTTAAAGGCTGAATAATATTCCATTGTATGTCTGTACCACATTTTGTTTATCCATTCATCTGTCGATGGACATTTCTATTGCTTCTACCTTTTGGCTGTTGTGAATAGTGCTGCTATGAACATGGGTGAAGTACCAGTATTTCTATCTGAGAAAAATTATTTGTTCCATAGAGGTGTTTTTCTTTCCTTGGACATAAAAGTTCTTACTTGAGCCAGGATCTGTTAGAAAATACTGTAAGGCCTCTTTTAGATCTGATCCATTGAAATAGTAGTCCAGATTATAGAAAAAAGTCAATACCTATAATGTTGAAACATTCTTGTAGGCTAGAACAAAGGTGAAAATAGAGACTATGCAAAAGACGCTGAAAATACAAAGTGGCTCAAGTGTGAGAGTCAGGAGTTTGTGCTGACCCCCCATCTTTCTATGGCTCAGGAAAAATCATTTGTTATTCCCAATCTCCCCTATCCCATCTACAAAATGGGGTGGATATATTTTAATTCCCTTCACTCTAAAGATTTGAAACATTACTGATTTGAGATATTATGTAACATAAAGGGGAAAGGGGTCTGACAACTTCATTACTATTGCTCAGCTCTATGTGGCTTGCTCATTACCATCCCTAGTGCCTGACAGTGCTGGGCACATGGTAAGCACCTATAATGTTTGTTGACATATCTACCATGGATATTTTTACCTTCCTCTAGTAGAGTTAGAAAGCTTATATGAATTGAGATTGCCTCCATGTTAGGTTTGATATCTAAAAATGTTTATAAATCGTAATTCACATGTGTAAAATCTGTTTCTCTTAGAGAAGCAGTTTTGGAATGTGAGTTTATTGCTGAAAACCAATATTGTGTAAAAGAGAGAGAGTTCCAGAGAATATTCCAGGGATCTGTTGCCTAACAGTCTTGCCTCCCATCCATTTTCCTCTGACTAAAACAGAGAGAAGTTCAAATGAAAAGCTCCAGTATCCTGGAATGGTAAAAGTAATATATTTGGAGATGTACTTGGTTTCTTTTTGACCCATTTCTGGAACTAATTTTGCATGGCGCTGTACTGAGCTAAAAATGCTTTTCTATTTCTAGGGTTTCTTCTCAGGATGCATTGACTCCTTGGATCCTTACAAGTCATGGATGTTCCTCTTAGGACTAAGGCCATTCCTACTCCCGCCCTAGTACATGTCCATGGGATTGATCATCTCCAAACATCATCATCATCATTATCATCATAATAGCTACAATTAATTGGCAATTCCTTGAGAAAAGTGCCAGACTAGAAGGAACTTTTTTCTAGCATAATTCAGACCTGTGCCCTTTGAGGGTAGAGAGGACCTCACTGCTTGCCTCAGTAACAAATGGCTAGACTGAAGGAGGCAGTGCTTAAAAAAGACTTTAGACATAATATTTTTATGCTATTTCCTCTTAAATCAGTGATGATAAAGCGAATCTAGTTACTTGATAGTAGCTGCCTGGAGAAGTATTAAGAAGGAATACGATGCTTTGTACGGGCTTAGGAGGGGGGAAAATAAATGCCAGGACCGATGAGCAGCCTTTGCTATGGATAACGGACGGGAATTGGGGAGGGAAGTGGAGACACAGGTGCTTAGTGTCTGCTATCACTGTTTTAAATGGTGCCCTTGTAGCTCACTCTAACCTGATTTACCTATGAAAGAATGGCTCACTCAACCTGGCTGCCAGCAGGAGGACTTGATCGTTAATGTAACCAGGACAGAAATTCTTTCCTTACAGCTTGCGGTGAGAAAAGACCTGTTTGCAGCAGCATCTATCTATCTATTCAAGTGTGATATTGTACTAAATGTAGCTATTTATCAATATATTTTAGCAATTCTGTTTTAGAACTATGGTCTAAAAATGCAGCAAGGGCAGGACTAAGCCTTCTAAATGACAGGATTTAAATTGACTATCAATGATCATATATAAGTAGCCAGTTATACTGTCAATGGAAAAGATGAATCACTTTAACCCTAATAGTCCATGTCACAGTAGATCCAGATTGTAGTCATCTAAATGATCCACTCATATCACTGTACAATTGGGCATAAACATGGCAAGGTCACAAGTTGAATCTGTGATACTACATGGACCCTTTTATTTATTATTATTATTATAAATCTATTCCTAATCCTCCCTTTCCTATTCCTAAATAAATAAATTATTAACACAAAATAATTTAGGGGCTGGCCTGGTGGCGCAAGTGGTTAAGTGCACGCACTCCGCTGCGGCGGTCTGGGGTTCACCGGTTCGGATCCCGGGCATGCACCAACACACTGCTTGACAAGCCATGTTGTGGCGGTGTCCCATATAAAGTAGAGGAAGATGGGCATGGATGTTAGCCCAGGGCCAATCTTCCTCAGCAAAAATAGGAGGATTGGCAGATGTTAGCTCAGGGCCGATCTTCCTCACACACACACACAAAAATAATAATAATAATAATTTAACTTATTTTGATGTATTTAGACTTGTGAAAAAAGTAATGGGAGTTAAGAAGAGGCTTATAAGAACAGATGGGAGGAAAAGTGAGGGGAAATCATTTAGGAAGGAGAGGATGGCATTGGCAGAAAATGAGAAAAGCTGTATCTCACTTCTAAAATAACAGTGAAAAGAATCAATTTCCTGAATGTGGGGAAAATACTAAAGGCAAAATCTCTTCCAAGAATACTGTATAGCACCTGGAAAAGACTCATGGAGAAAAGTGATCTTTCAGGTACTATTTCTGGCATTCTGTATTTTGCATTGGGGTGAATTCTGGTTTATGCTGCTTAAAATTTTAATGGAAGAGGCTTACTATGGACTGTAATGAACTGACTTGGGCCAGTTCTTTTTCTGCCAATCGTCCTGAAGTCTATAGGTTTTCGTCAGTTTCTGAACCCAAACTATTTTCATTTCTCAACTAGGTAAGGCTTTATTGTCTGTTTAAATCATATATGCTGCCCACTGGATTAAGTAATATAGCTTCCGGTTAATATTACCTTCTAGAAGTTTGGGTAAATTCACAAGGATGATATTATCTAACAAATGATGATTTTCCCCCATGGCAGATAAGCTCATTCTCCAAGAGCTTCCATAGAAACAGAGATGTCCAAAGATATTTTAATACTGAATATCTTCAAAAAGATGTGAAAAAATATCAGACTTCTAGGACATCTTTTTTTTATCAAGTAGCTTGGCCACAGAACTAAAAGTGGAAAGGTGGCTTGTGTGACCTGTGCTTGAGGCAACATTTCATGACTTGCTCTCCTAGTCACCAGATGGGTGATAACCCAGGTCGTTTATGGAGGAAGGGTTTCTTGGGTACTGTCTAGTCTTAACTGGGCCCTAATTTACATTTAATTTGAGTTTATTCTGTTAAAGTTTCGGGCATTTCTTTTCCGTTGTGAAGTTTAAGACAATTTAAACATAGATTCCCTCACTCCATTCAGCCACAAAGAGTTGTGAGCACTTACTCAAAAAGTGGGCCAGGCAGTGTTCTGGATTACAAAGACTAATGGAAACTGCCCTCAAGATACAGTCAGACTCAAAAAGGAGCTGGAGGCACAGTCAGTAGTCGTAATATCTGGAAAGAAGGTCTGGTAGCACTATGTTCCGAGTTCCCAAGAGCAGTGAGGATAGAGAGGGGTGAGAGAAACGTTCACAGGGGAGGGGGTGTTTGAAAGAAACTTGGCGGGGCCGGAGTAGGAGTTTGTCAGGTGGAGAGAGGGAAGGGCTCTGCAGGTAGAGGAAATAGCCACGTAGTGGGTGCCAACACATGGAGTCATGGATCAGCAAGCTAGCTGTAGGTAATAGGAGCAAAGTCCTTTTGGAATTTGGCACCATGTGTCCCTTTGCGTCAGTGTGAACAATATCTGTCACCTTCATGCCATGAACCTGGCCAGAAACTGCTCATCCGTTGCACAGCTATCTCTTTCCACTTTTCTTGCATGTTTGTAGAAAAAAAGCCCAGGTTCTGAATTAGCCTCTGCGTTCCACCTTGGAATGATTTTTATCTCTTGGCAGCTGAGGGCCCTTTTCTGAGCATCTGAATTCTATAATCATCAGTTTTTAGACAAGTACGTATTTTGGAGGTTGAGCCAAAGGAGAAAACAAGCTACACCATGAGGCAAATCTCATAGTGAAATGACAGAATAGTTATCATTCTTCTACCATCTGTGACATCAGAATGAAAATGACAGCTTCTGAATGTATGACGCCGTTGCTTTTCTACCTTATGAATCAGAGGACATAACTAATCTTTGTTCATGCTATGCTCTGGCGTATTTGTTTTCAGCCTCTGTCTGGATAATTATTGCTTTTTCAGTCTGAAGGAACTAGCCCTGAGAAAGGAATTCTTCATTCAACAGTGTTCCTTCAAGGGAACTTTGATAGATGACGTAGTAAATAACTGAATAGCAGGTCTTTGAAAATTCAAATTGCCTGGTCCGTTTAAAGACATGCATTAGAGAATTTGTAACTGTTGCTTCATAGACTGTATATTATTTACTTTCTTACTCTATCGTATGTTCCACATTTAAGAAAATTTCTTAAAATTTCAAATAATCCTCTTCCAAAAGCTACTTCAATTCTCAGATATTTAAAAATTATGATATAATGACCCACCAATT